CATTCTCATTGAAAAATTATTTCATTGTATTTATACATCATGGTTGTAACTGCCTTTAATTTATGCATTTTTATTTATTGCTTAATTTTAATTTTTGAATTTTATTTTTAGAGTTAAAATTAATATATTTTATGCTAAATTAAATCTGTTTAAACTTTCATTTTGGATGAATTATACATGATGCATATCGTCGCAATCCATGATTCATATTCTTGCATTTTTGCCTTATATAGTGACACCCTTAAATAGTATTTTATTGTATACTTTTATTTATTATTTACGATAATAATGCAATTATAATCTGGTGATGGGAGAATTCAAAATGTTAATTATTTTATTTATTTTATTTGGGAATGAAATGTGACCTGGATGGTTTTACCATGTTATCAGCCCTCGGAGGATAGAATAGCATTTACTGTATGTGAAGCTTGTCCTAACAGTGAGAGTTGAACCACAGACTGAATGTAACCTCACCATAAAACTATTCATATGACACTGCAATTCTGGATTTCTGACGTAACAGGAAACTGATAGACTGATCAAATAACGTAGTTCAGTGTTTGGGATTTATTTGCTGTTGCAAGAATGCAAACAAGTGAGGACTCTTGATACATGAGAAGAAAATCCACTCTTAGTACTTAACATCAACCACTGTACATTATTCCATGAGATTAAATAAACAATTTGCCACAAACAGACTGACAGGTCTGTGAGTAACATCTCTCTGGAGTGGTGCACTGAAAAGGGAGTAATTTCATTTCATGTGTAAAAGATTGGTGTCGGCAAGTGTAGATTCACCAAAAGCTGAGCTGACAGCCCAGACAAGCAATTACTGTTATTTGTATAGTTCACAGGTGATGGACACAGAGAAGACAACCTCAGACCAGACACGGTTCGCAAACTGACGAGGACGACCTGCGAGAATCAACGTGCACATCAAACTCAGAGCGTACTGACAGGGAGATGAAGTGTGTTTGTCGGCATTTCTATACGTGCCGAGACTGCAGTCTAGTTATACACGCACGTCAAAAAGATATCTGTTCCGGGTGTGATGTCATGTTTAGGAGTGGGTAGACCATCTCCTATGGTGGAGTTGCTTTCACTTGTCAGCAGGCTTGTTTAAGAACTCACCTGGCTAAAGGCTCAGATCATCTCCAGATTGAAGATTCTTTTGGGTCGATTCTTTCTGCATGCACATACCCAGCATGCTAGAGAAGGGAAATGAGGCGGAAAGAGATTAGCCCACCCATTGATCATTGCTTCTCAACTGAATTTTACACATATGCTGCCTGTGCAAAAGGTATTTTTGTATACCATGATGGCAAGATTCAGAGGTTGTGTACATGGTATTGTGCTCAGATGGTCGGGGATGTCAATTGCATATGGCAAGTGATTCCTTCTTATAAAGCGACAGTCACAAAAAATGATTGTATGAGTAGAATGAATTCATTTTGAATGGAATGGAAGAAAGACACTGGCTGTGTCTGAAATCGCATACTCTCTGAGTAGGTGGTACTTTTGTAATTACCAACCGTAAAAAAAAAGTATGTTCTATATACTGTAGTATGAATGTTGTCATTGTCGTGTGACCTGCCAGAATCAGTTGCATTGCTTTACTGTGAATTCAGCTTTGCATTAAACGATTTTAATATATACAGTAGCATAGACAGGGGAAAACTGATTGACCTCCCAGTGTGCCCCCACAATGACTTTGTAAAAATTGTAATTAAACTTTAAAAATAATTTTAAAAATCATTGCGATATTAACTAATATACAAACTGCAAGCCACGGAACCAGCGGCATTGGCGCCTCTGATCATGGGCCAGTTGTATAAACATAGTCAGCACGATAAGAATGTGACTAGTTTGACTTACTAGCAGTAAACCAAGTGGTTATCAGTCTTATTTTTTTTAGATTCAAATTAGACCAATCTAAGTTTTTATGTAACTGACCTTAAAAAGGTATGACCAGTCCTGCAGAAAAAACTAGGTGTATTACTTTTAAGACTAGCAGTTTATGCAACCGGCCACAAATCTTCACGGCTGCATGATGCTGTGTATGCACAGAACAATACAGGGGTAGAGAGAATCTACGAATATTGTTTGTTTGGATATAAACACCTCGAAATGCACCATATTCATAAAAGAAATTTGGTGTACCCACAATTTGCAACCCAAACATAACCACCGCAACCTCAAACTTCATTCATTCATGTAAAACGGTTTCTTATGGATAATTTGACTATCTTGACTGAATTGCCTTGCCATTTTTATGATGGCTGTTGTTGTTGTTGTTTATTAAATATTATTGTACAGTAAATAATATTGTGTTCGTGATGGTGATTTTAGTTACATTATTCTGCCATTAGATGGCGACGAGACTCTTTTTATGAGTGTGTCCGCAGTTAAGACTTTTATATTGAAAGTGACTGAAACAGGGTTGTAAGGAAGTTATTTTTACTTTCAACATCACTTTGTAAGATGGAGCAAACAAATGCACTGAGCAGCGCTGTCATCGGAAATCATCTAAACAGATGAAAGGACAGTACGACAAAGATATCGCTTTCCTCAGCAGACATTTAAACTCATGTTTTATTGTGAATATGAGATTGAGCTGAAGAATGAATGCTGTATCTGATGCAGGTAATCACACTGGCTCAGTCCATCTCTCTCTCATAATACTCTACTCTACATAATACAGTGAGCTTTTAATACAGTGCATAAGCTTTTAATGAAGCAACTCAACATTCCTTCGTTACTAGTTCTAAAGTGAAGTATTCGAATTAGTAACGGATCTTGAGCTCAGCTGTTAAACTGCCGATTTGAATCTGTGGCGGAAGGAAGTAGTTCTGCACAAAGATGGTTTTTAAAGACACTCCGTTGTTGTCTCTCTCTTTTTTTATTTACACACTTGTGCCGTCGAACTGTTGTATAAACGCAATATCACACTTGTAGCCTGCGATATGTCTGTATATGAGCACGCTGTGATTGCCTATGGCCAAATCACAGCCGTGCTCATATACAACCATATCGCACTGCTAGTGTGATAGTGCTCACAGGTCGATGTGATTTTGCCAAGTAAGACATGTTAACTAAACCTAACCCTATCCATAATTTATTCCTAAAATCAGAGGGAAATGATAGGTGAATAACAAGGGTGTAGAAGCATCTAACCCTGATTGTAAGCCTAAAACTGACATTTCTTGAAAACCTATCCCTCAATTCTGATTGGTTGACTGGTATGTTGTTCCAGGATCAACAAGGATGTTGATCCAGAAACATGATGTACTTGGTTAAAATAACATTCACCAGTGCTCACATGTGGTGAACGTGATTTCACCAAGTACAACATGTTCCTGGGTCAGGTTTACAATCAGGGTTAGATGCTACATTAGGGCTGTCAGTCGATTACAATTTTTTAATTAATCTAATTAATCGCAAAATACATTTGACTGTGAAAATACCCACAAAAGGTTATTTAAAGATATTTTTGTTAAATGAGAAAGTATCAAGTAGACATTACAAATTGTAGCTTTAGAAATATTTTATTTGATTCAACAAAAAAATGTATTGCACATAAACATTTAGGCTACAACGGCCTAACATAAACTATGGAACATAAAAGAAGATAATTTGAGAAACATCTCAGTATTGTTTGTTCATACAATGAAAGTCATTGGTAACCAAAACAACTTTGTACCAACAGTCATCAAAATACCTTCCTTTATGTTCCACAAAAGAAAGGTTTGAAACGACATGAGAGTGAGTAAATGATGACAGAATTTTAAAAAAATTCTGTGCCCTTTAATGTTTTTATTATTGTTATTGTTATTATTATTATTAATATTAGTATTAATTAAATGATACTCTAAATAAGAAACTAAATCTGCCAGGAGGTGGCGGTAAATGTCCAATGACTGATTCATTCAGTAATGAAGTAAACGGCTCTCTTTATGAATGGGCTTTGAATCATTGGTTCACTCGATTCGTTCAAAACGCGGATTCATTCAGAAACTAAACATTGCTGTGTTGCTCGGAGACGCGCAACAATTCTGCTGTGGCTTTAAAGGTAATATATTCTTTGCAAAATTGAGCAAAAACACATAATATTGTGTTTAAAATATAACACAATATCAACTTCTTACTGAACTGTTGTATAGAATCGCATTTAAACTCCAATATCTTGAATTTTAGGGCATAACTGCATTTATGGAGTTGTGTTGCCCTGCATCATATTTGTCAACCATCAACTGTATGAAATGTAAGATGATGTACAGGTCTGGGGCGGGGCCAGTGCGTTAACCGCGTTAAAATATTTTAATCGCGTTATTTTTTTGTAACTAATTAAGTTAATGCGTTAAAATGACAGCCCTAATTTACCTACATAATCAGCTGCCTATAACCCACCAGGTTAAAACCAAAGCCATGTAATTATTATTATTTATCTTTGTGTGTATGTAGTGTTGGGTTAATGGTTTACAGCAGTTTTGTCTTCCTCTAGTGTGTTATACACGTGAACTGGACATCTCGACTTGCCGTAGCACTTAGTTACTCAAACAGAGCTTCTCTTCAATAGAAACTTTAAGTAACGTTATAGCTGCATCCGAAATTGCATACTTCTACTATATAATAGGTGAAAAACAGTATGTGAAGTTTGTCAGAATTCAGAGTAGCCTATTCATAAAGCAGTAGGGCTGTGTCTGAAATCACAAACTCTGTGAGAAATCACAAACTCTGTGTAGGTACTTCTTTTGAATAAGTAATTACTTAGTGACTGTTACAGAGGCTGCTTCTTAGCTTTCAAGCTGTCGTTTTAACATTACATGGCTGGTTACAAACTTTGTACTGCAGCCAAGAAGAATAAAGCTTTTAAAATATAATGATTATTTCCCAAAAAGTTTACCAAGCAGAAACGCCCATGTACATTTTGGATATGTTCTAACAAATCACACATTTCTTACTAATGGCAATTTATTTTCATTTCCTTGTCACAGAGTGCTGTCGGATTGCTGTTTAATGAAATACTTTCACAAAACGTGTCCTGTGGGAAATGTCCTGGTGCAGCGCCAGTGGAGCAAGAATCCTCGATAAGGTAATTGATAGATTGAGTGTCCCACCTCCCCTCCACTGAGCTGAAGAGTGCCGCCCTCTTCTGTGCATAAAGGGGCATTATGGGTGAAGCTGGTAAAGGAGAATTTTTTGGGGTTTGGGTCGTTCCATTAATGTGATTAATGAACTAATTACTGGGATGGGAAATGAGAGGTGAGGTGTGTGCATGCATGTGGATGCGAGTGTGTGATTGTAAACCTGAAATAGTGTCGCACATAATAAACACAGACAGCATTACAATGATGTGCAGACACTGCAATGTGCTGTGTTTTGCAGATCTATAGCTGTCGCTGACGTAATGCAGTTTGAGTCGATAAATGCACCCACCATAATATTGTTATAGTATGTTGTCATATTGTCATACTTTTGCATCAGTCTATAACAGTCACGCAGGTCCTCAGGAGCTTTCCAAGAGCTGGTCATCTAGGAGATTTATGTATAGGCTGAAATGAACACTCCAGGGAAATGGCTCCATAAATCCAATGAAACTTACATTTGTACCAACAGTAATCACACAAGCCCAAAATAATTTTATGGATCCACCCGGACTCTGGTTTAACTTCTGCCCCTGGCAATGTAAGGTTTGTAGGTACATGAAGTATGGTTCTCATAAAAATTTAGTTGGGAACATTTGAGCTTTATGAAGGAATAATTGAACATCTAGTTAAGAAACAGACAAGAGCTCTGTTATTTCTTTACTAGGCCTTTAAATGGGGATGCATGGGATTGTAAGTGGGCAGTTACAGCTCTCTCCTGGATTGCTTGTTGCGTAAAATGGAGAGTACACTACTGAAAATGGACCTTTGTTGTATTTCTACAATATTTTAAACTGTTTTGTGATATTGTTTTGTGAGTATGAAAGCAATATAACATTCTGATAATTGCAAAATGGCACTAGAAATGGTAGGATCATTTCATGTTTTTAAATCACTTCAAACTTTGTTTCAGTGGATCGTTTTAAATTTTATTAGAATTGTTTGTCAAAAATATCCACAAAAATTTCTTAGTGACATTTTTTTATGTACGCTGTAAAAAAAGTTGTAAATAAAACAATTATTGGAGTATATTTTACAAGAAAATAGTTTCAGTCTTTCTACTTGAAAATTTCACATTTAATTCAGTGTTACTTCCTGTTTCTTTGTAATTATGTGAGATTTATTAGCCATCTCTTGAGTGAATTGAAATTTTTTCTAAAGATTCAAAGTACATCCAACACCATCTTTTTTCCAGTTTATTAAATGCTTGTATAAAAATATATGTGAATAAAAATAGCTGTTCATATTGGTGCACATAAATGGAAGTAAATTGATTCTTCTGACAGAAAAAAAATCACATATACTGAATACTATAGCATCAAATAGCTGATAAATATTTAGATTACCCAGCACTTGTTAGATCATGTACGCATAGAGATCTGCCGCTGATGTTTTGTCACATCAGAAGCAATAAGAGCTTTAGATAATGCCATTACTTGATGTGTGCAAAACCCATATTAGTTCGCTGCTTTTGTTACTATGATTGTTTTCTTGATTTTTTTTTTGTAGGAGATACAACCATGTCTCATTTTCCTGTTCTTTTATGTATTCATAAGTTCTGCAATAAAAATATAATAATAATAATAATAAATAAGAGTAGGCTTACTTCATGTATTAACCTCTGCAGAAAAATCTTTATTTATTATCATTATTTTTTTATTTTTTTTATTTTTCTGGCTTTGGCGAAGAATTCGGTTCAGAACTACAAAAAAAATATGAATAAAAAGCGCAAAAAAAATATAAATATGCCGAATGTGCTAGAGATGTAGAGAGGTTTAGATAAAGGGGTTTGGGTTACTAATAATCAACATTTAACGTGGTAAAAAAATATTTATTTAATGTTATCTGTGTTGTATTTCATCTGCAACAACAATGTGAACTTGGCCATTAACTTTTAAATGCATCATGCAAAAAATCTGAGCAGAGTTCTCTGCATAAAAACCCACGGCTGGCAGATCAACATGCTACTTCTTTTCTCTCCGATACGGTAGGAAGTTAAATGAAATGAAATGTGGAGGATGTTAACTGTGACAAGTTGATTGACAGGCTGGCCAGTTTACAGTGACATGGTGCGTGTAACTGTGACAGAGCCTTCCAAGACGCAATTGTATGACGTGGTAGTTTATGTGGGGGCGTGTTAGAACGAGCCGTTTTAGGTAGGCGTGGTTAACTCTTAACTTTTATAAAGAATATCTCTTTGGTTTTGAGACTTTAGTGTTTGCAACTTTACAGATCTTCTTTATGCACCAAGAGCTTGTAACACTCCAAAGAGAAAGGAAAAATTTGAATCGCATCATATGACCCCTTTAAGGGCGTAGTATAAGTAGGCACATTGGGACACAGCATCTTTTTCCCATCACTGGCATCAAACAATACCACTTCTTGTCCTGTGTGGAATTAGTGGGTTGGCTTGAAGGCCTGTGACAGACGTGATACAGTCCATAAGTTAAAATCCCTATTGACAGCTATAGTTTGCCTCTCTTCTGTGTAGTGAATCCATTGTTGCCATTTTGATATTAGTGGGGATTGCGTGCCAGCTGCCATGTCGAGGAGTGCCAAGGCAGATGGGATAGCAGCAGGAGTTGTTTTGGGAGTGAGGAAAAATACATGCAATGTGGTGAAGAATCTGTCCTTCCTTTCTCTCGTACTTTTCTTCTCACAGTAAGGGCTGTTAAATTCACTGCTTCCCTACCTGGCCACAGCAAGGAGAACACTACTGTATTCATTAGTAAACCACTACTTTTCTTTAATATAGAAAGTAGATTCTTGATCTATTACATCCCTTTCCACCTCAAGGTTAAAAAAAAAATGTTACAAATCATTTGTGAGATAAAGTTTAAAATAAGGAATATAAGTCGCCACAGCACTCTACTCACATCTTTAAATGCCTAGGTAAGAAATATTGCATTAGGTTGCAAAAAAAACAACAACTGTAAAACCAAATAGCCTGTACCAGGGTTGGTGCCAAAGCACACAAAGTGAGGGGACATATATTTTTTTGGTGTGTTTGCGACTAAAATCGTGTTCCAGGTCCCCCTTCTGTAGAAATTAACGCAACTGATTGCTTCTACAGTGGACTGAAGGAACAAGTGGTTGGTGGTTATCTTCGATAGCTAGTGCCCATACCTGCATTTCAGCAAATCATTTAGCGCCACTGATAACATTACATCACCTAATTAATATTCATTAACTAGACAGATATATGCCCCCTACTTTTAAGATTGTTCTCACGACCCTGGTTATTTTACTCATTTAGTTTCTCTGAAATGCTTCATTCTGATTGGTCAGTAATGACATTCCGGGGTCAGTTATTCACTAACAATGACTGTCATCAGTAGCAACACTGTGTAATGACTGCCGATACTGGCGTCTGAGGGCAACACTTATCACTCCGTAGACAAATTCTCTCTTGTCTTATTCAATCATAGATCTTGCACCTCAGTTATCAACTGTATTTAAAATGAAAATTTTAAATGAAATGTACAAAATGTACACTATTTACTTTGTTAGCGTACATTGTTAGTCTTGAGGGGAACAATTAATCCATGCAAGTTAAACCACTGAAAAAAAAAAAGTTTGTTTTGGTAATCTTTAATAAAAATATGAACATTCCTTCTCTAATGATGTCATTTTGGCGGCTTGGGCAGACAGCATCTTCTGGTTCACACAGACTTTAACAGCAAGCCTACGTTAATATTGTTGTAGTGTTCTTCTTAAAGGATACTTATTGCACGATCAGTGTAAGTAGATGAACTAGGCTGTATGACTCTACATTATTCCTTAAATGTTCATCTTGGCGCAAAGCTGTGTGCTTGGAACTATTTTTCCTTACAGAAGCTTTGCATGTAATGAGCTACTAAATTATTTTAACTCAATGTAATATTTTGTCTAATTATTTACTTGTATGGCAAGTAGCCAAATAATGGGGATAGCGGGATAACGTACATCCAGCTAGTTATCACAAAATAAATACCTTCAAAATGATACTAGACTGGTCAACCTGTCGATAACAACTGGTTTTGCGATAACAACAGGCTGCTGCATGTACATTGTTCCTTACTTATTACATGATTCTATTGAACGTTTTGCAGTCAAAGATTTTAAATAACCGCTAGTGTTGGTTCTGAGTCCACTTTGTCGAGTCCTAGTCTTTAACTAATTCAGTTTTATCTTCATTTTATGTTACTACTCTAATAACCACTAATGTTGTGTCCCAAATTATGCACTATACACTATGAACTTATGTACTACAAACTTAACCGTGTATTGTATGAATTTATAAGCTTATTTTCCCTTACGAAAAAGAAGTTTATTCAAGTGTGCTATTAGTATACTTCTTTTAAACTAAAAATAGGAAAGTATACTTTGTCTACTTTTTATGTAAATCTCAGAAATGGGCTTTATGTACTTCTCAGAAATATACTTAAAATGACATTTAAGTATACTTGACTTATACTTAGAAAAAGTCTAAATATATTTTTGTTGATCGACTTTATCTACATTTTGATTATCATTCTGAATCCAATTCATAGTCTTTTTTCAGCCTTTTGTTCAAAATGTTGTTTATTTCTTTATTTTTTATTTATGAAACTTATCCACATTCAAGTGTTTAAAAAAAGAAAGCATGAAGCTAGAATAGAATGTTTTTGGTTACAAGCAGATACACTGTTCTTTTGATGTTTTGTATGTTCAGATATTTCATGTAACAAAATATATACAAATTAAGACCTAAATAGGGACATAGTAGTATACATTTGATGTAAAGTTCACTTAAAGAAAACTTACGAGTATACTTGCAGTATAAAACTACTAAACTAGTAGTTTACTGAGACTATACTTCAAAGTGTACTAAAAACGCTACTACAAGTATTTAATTAGTAAACTATCAGTATACCTATAAGTTCACTTTTAGTATAGTTGCAATACAAACTAAACATTTTGATGTAAA